CACCTTGCATAGTCTTGAGTGGGCCTTGTGCCTATAATGAAAAAGGCGAAGATAACGAAGGGTGATCGAATACAAAATCTATAAACAGTAACAAATTTGTAAATTGGGCTTAAAACACAGACCCCTGGAAATTCCAGAAGCGTGATCAGGTACCCGCTAAAACTAAGCATACTCTGTTGACCGGTCACACCCACCGTAATCCCTATGTATAGATCAGGTAGACAGAACATTCCGTAATCAAATTCAATATAAAAACAAATGCTTAACAATTGCTATGAAACACGTCAGCCAACATTTGACCCAATGACAGGTTATATTTGCTAACAAGGTCATTATAACGACCATAGAATTTACGAAATGCTGACTTTAAATGAGGTTGTTGAAATCTTTATTACATGTGTAAAATCATTTATCTGTCAGTAGCTTGCCTCGATTTAAAGATTGATCGTATTTAGAACATGCAAGAATATGAAATACATGTACAGTGTATATGAAGATAACGAACAGTTTTCAAACTCAAAAGTCCATTCAAACAACACAGATCAGGAGCAGAGTAAACACTGACCTCTAAAACATCAGAGGTGGTATCAGGTGCCATGGAGGAGTGAGCAACCCCTGCCGACCGGTTACACCTGCCGTGTGCTCCTTGTAAATAATGGCCTAACAATTATAATGAAAAACGCCAGTCAACATTTGACGTAATGATAGATTGTATCAAGATTCGCTGACAAGGTCATAAGATGGGAGATGTAAACACCAAATGAAGATAACAGTGGGATATAACTATATAAATAAAGAGATTTGACGATGAAGAAGGTGAAGTATATGGTTTTCACTTAATTCATCATTTATACGATTCAGATGATTTTCCTTGACCTGGATATAAATACAGTTAAGTGAAGTAAAACAAATGAAGCTGTTTTGATGATTAAGCTATTGGGACAGGGTACCTTAAGAGGGCATTTATTTGTTACTCATCTACTCCCCCCCCCCTTCCTTTTTTAGGCATTAACTGCTATGACAAATCCCATTTTGACAAACATTTGTCATTTGGTCCCATATGTAATATGTCCCATAAGTGATTCAGATTGATCGCCATATCATTTGTTAGAATTGGGTAAAATGACGTTTCTGGATTTTGATATTTATATTTAGTGTGGGGTACCAACAGAAAGTTACTCCATATTGACAAGCAATCGGTCTGCGCGTGCAAAAAGTCAATTCTGCTTAAGTCAAGCTATTGCTTAGAAAAATGGAACTTATTATCCCCTATTTCAAGCAGAATTCCTTATTACTATATCAAATTAAACTGCAGATCCTATTTGGGGCCTCTAGTCATCAAGCATATCCATCATGGACACACAAAGTATTTCAATAATTTCAGCTATTTGTTTAACTTACCGTGAACTTGGCCAGCTTCTTTAAATCAAATAGTCATGTTACAATTTATATAATATAGCAGAGCAGAGTTAAGCCCTTGAAGCTATTATAACTCCTATATCGGTTTCTGTAACATAAACAAGTGTCGTTTTAGATCACACTCATTTCAGCAGCAGGGGCATTCCTGATTAAGTAATCAAACAATTTGGTAGATGAAAGCCATGTCTCATACATGTGTGTGGGATTTGTGTAAATGCAATATTACATCTCAATTTCAATTTTTGAGATTCATCTTTTCATACATCTATGCATATAAAAATTTCAAGTATTCTAGGTTTAAGTAATGTAGTCTGGGTTATGTCATTTATATGATTCTGAGCTACAAATAGTGATACATGTACCACTTGTTCTTGAGGGAAAAGCCCTCACTGATAAAAAGATAGGTAAGGTAAAAAAAATAGATATATACATATTTGGGTGGGGATTCAGGGAATTCGATTGAAGGAGTTTTACTCTTTGTTAAAAATCAAAGTCCAACTTCTAAAATTATCAATTTTAATTTCAATTCAAATGCACTTGGATGGTAAACATAGGTTTCAATGACCTGGGCATCTCGACAGAAACAGTACTGTTTCAAAGTACAAAATATTTATTCTTATGTTGCAAGTTATTGGTCCAAAGTATGTCTATTATTTGGTTTGATATAAGTATAATCCCGGATGGCATGGAATAGTTCTCTCACAAGTGTATACTATATATGTACATTTATAAACTTTTAAATTGACAGAAGGTCAGGTGGGTAACTGGAACGAATTAAAAACTTACAGGTATACACATAACGCGTTTGTGGCGGATGGACTTGTAAAGACAAGTTCATTTGGGGAATTCTCATGTCTGGATCAAAACCCTGGGCAATCCATCCTCAGTACTATGAGGGTTACCTCAGTGGTACCTGAGGGACCAACTTTATCCTTGCAGGTACCAAGGGCAAGCTTTGGGGCCCACCTCTGGGGGTATTTTCTCCATGTAGTTGTTGAATACCAGGGGAGGCAGGATAGAGTTAGGACCCGAGTCAGAACTTTTATTTTCTATCTAACTTGTAACACGAGATTTGATTGGTTAGCAAACCGGGTGTAAATTTCCGTACACACGACTTCAGCCGGGGGTAAAAAACGTGTCGTCACAATGCATAGTTTCACTATGATAAAAAGCAAATAACATGACGTCACGATGCATTGTAGGATGTAGTAAATCTTATCGATAGCTTGAAACACAGTTGATTGGACTTCTTTACAAAGAATTTATTTGGGTACATAGGAAATAAATTCGTTATCCAGGTTCAATCAAGGGTGTACAGGGATTTACCCCCGATTTTATTCCATACACCCTTCGGCCTCAGTTTGGCCAAATGGTGTATAGAATAAAACCCGGGGTAAATCCCCGTACACCCTTGATTGAACCTGAGATTACTGAAATATTTATTCATTTGGTGAGGCGCTCAATCTTGTTGGGGCACCCAGAGGTCTGTTCCCACCACAGCCTGTGGGGGCGCTATCGCGCAAGGTTCTTATGGAAATCATCCCGGTAGGCAGGTAGCGTTTCCCTGGGATCCGTCGGGGTATTTGCATCTATGTATATACATAGATTGTGACAAATACTCGCCTTCTAATGTAATTAATTGTTTTTAAAATTCATTGCATCTGGGATTAAAATGGGATAAAACAGTTATCAAACATTATGCTTTGATATCCCCATTATATGTCTAGATTTATATCCCGATTCGTCCCTGATCGTAATGTCTGTGGCTCTTATAGAATGATAAGTGAATATTGTGGCACGTTTTGCCTTTCTGCTGATTATCTGCATAAATTTCTCAAGTGTATTCTTGCCCACCACCATATTGTCATACCACAAGTCAAGGTTATCAGGGTCGAATGAAGTTGGCAGGAATTTTGGTCTTTGCTACAATGACTTGCATTTTGGATTCACTTCTTGCTTGTATATTTTAAAGCTTGCCACTGGACAGCTGTGGTTTCCTAAAATGGTTTTCAAAAGAAAATAATTTTTATATGGTTTTATTCCAATATTTTTTAAATATTTTTAATTATAACAAGAATAATCTACATGCCGTGTTTGCTCATACATGCAAGCAGCATCATCAGTCTCCACTGTCGTTCTTTGTGAGTCGGGATACATTACTGACAATAAAACCCCTTCCATCCGCATCCACATTAATGACATCATCCTTTCCCATGTTTCTGAGGTTTTCACGCATTTTGTTACAAAAATGTAACATTATTTCGAAAAAACAACCTTCCACTACAAAGTGTTGGGATTATCTACACTAAACACACTACAATCGTACAGTTTTCCATGTCTCCATCACTAATGATATTTTTATGTTTTACTTCTCCACTCCCTTCCCTCTTTATTTAAGCTCGACTAAATTATTCATTGTTTTACACTGTCAGTGTTATTTGATTTCATGAATGACTTTTGAAGACCAAACCTCAAGAATATCATCAAAGACTTTGCGTACATCGATCCATCTTGTAGTAGAATTTCCTCAGTACATCCTCAGTACATTTCGACATTCGATTTTAAGCTTAATTCCGAGAGAGAAGAACCACGTGTACACATTAAAAATTCATTCAAAATGTTTTCAGTTGATCGTATGACGACTTTAGTGTTTTTACTGTCTCTTTCGTTAAGTATATATTCAATTTCACTTTCGTCTATAGTGGGAAACATCTTTCAGTGACGCCATCTTAAATCTTTCAGGCAAATGATAACTCTTGCAGCACTGAACTTCGGTTATTTCCGTGTCGCCGAAATTGAACGACAATTACCTGTGACGTAGGGACATTGCGGTCTAATAATTCTTATGTTAGACTGAAAGACCGATCAACAATGACATTGTTAGACTGATGCAAAAACATATATTTTGTTGAACTTTTTATTGGTAATAAATATAAAGAAAGATATTTATAAGGGTATAACAATAACGTAATATTCTATTCAAATACTGCTTGTTAAATATTGTTTGTAAAATATAACCTCTGAATTTACAATGACAGAAAAAAGCATGCAAGATTCTTTTCTGTTACTCCATAGCACCTTTTCTTGTCAGAATATCCTCAGTTAAGCTAGTGAAATCTTTATGAAATCTTTTGAGTAATGTCTTTCATATCGAATATAGGAAAAAAAGAAAATGGAGAATAAATGAAATGTAAGTTAACTTATAAAGATAAAGATTCAACTCTATTGACTAATGTGACAGGGCACATTTACATGGTTGTTGGTTGTTGCACTTTCCAGCAACTTCATGACTTGATATTTTGATTTTTGTGATATTAAAAAGATGCGCTGTAAAAAGTCAGCTGATTTCATAGAACTGCATTCATACAAAATGTGCATTTCATATATGACACACAAAATCCTTGCGTGTTAGGTTTCATGTTAAAATATACAATATTTTCATTTTGTAACAATTCTTTTGCAATATAAGGCAATTTTATGTGCTGGACTTAAAAATAATCATAAGGACTGGTTTTCTCGGGTTTCCAAGAAATCCTCTTCTTACTCTGACATATGAGCAGTAAATTTTAAACATCTGAAAAATGGGTGACGAAAACGTTCCAGCTTTAGTTATAGATAATGGATCTGGAATGTGTAAGGCTGGATTCGCTGGGGACGATACCCCCGGAGCTGTGTTCCCTTCCATTGTTGGGCGCCCTAGACAGGTAATGAAAAAGCTCAATTTATCAAAAATAAAAATTGTTTTTTTCACATTCAATATCTGATGATAATTTTTTTATGTTGCCGAGTTTAAGATTGCTTTGTACAGCTGCAACATAACATTTACGTCCTTTCACATTGATATATTCATTAAAGTCAAAAGTACAAAAATGGGCGTGGGAAGAGTATCTATATATATATATATATATATATATATATATATATATATATATATATATATATATATATATATATATATATATATATATATATATATATATATATATATATATATATGTATATATAAATATATTTAATGAATTTTTAGTTGTAAATGTATACTCTTGATTTTATCATTTACCTTTAAAATATCTCAAGGTCATATTGTATATATCGAATTCCACGCTGCTTTTCATAAAAGTTAAGAATTAAATGTAAAGGAACTATTACTAGCAACTTGTATAAAATTGAGAAACACTTTCAAATACGAGTCCTCTAAGAACTACGTATGCTACGAAAAACGTAAATACAAAAAAGCACACATCGGGTTTCAAGCAGATCAAGGCACTTCTAAATTGTTTTAAATTCTAAAGTGCAAAAGATTTTGACTACAGTGTTGTTGTTTTTCAATTAAGATGAAGCGATTATCTAGTAAACATTGTTTATCGATGTTTACAAGATCTTTTCTTTTCTCAGACCGCTATAGTTGGCATAGCTCCGAAAGACTGTTATGTTGGGGACGAGGCCCAGAGCAAGAGAGGTATTCTAACTCTTAAATACCCTATTGAACACGGCATCGTAACTAATTGGGACGACATGGAGAAGATCTGGCATCATATTTTCTATAGTGAACTCCGTGTCTCCCCAGAGGAATATTCTGTTTTACTGACAGAGGCCCCACTCAACCCCAAGGCCAACAGAGAAAATATGACACAGATAATGTTTGAAACCTTTAATTCTCCCGCTATGTACGTAGCTATTCAAGCTGTTCTCTCTTTGTATGCCTCTGGTCGTACAACTGGAATCGTACTGGACTCTGGAGACGGTGTCACACACACAGTTCCCATTTATGAGGGTTACGCCCTTCCACATGCCATCTTGAGATTGGATCTTGCTGGACGTGATCTTACCGATTATCTCATGAAAATTCTCACTGAACGTGGTTACTCTTTCACAACCACAGCTGAAAGAGAAATCGTCAGAGATATTAAAGAAAAACTATGCTATGTTGCTCTCGATTTTGAAAAGGAAATGGGAACAGCTGCTTCAACATCATCCCTTGAAAAAAATTACGAGCTTCCTGATGGTCAGGTCATAACTATTGGAAATGAGCGATTCAGATGCCCAGAAACCATATTTCAACCATCCTTTCTTGGAATGGAATTTTCTGGTGTTCATGAAACAATACATTACAGCATTATGAAATGCGATGTTGATATCAGAAATGACTTGTATGCAAATACAATATTGTCTGGCGGTTCATCTATGTACCCAGGTATTGTAGACCGTATGCAAAGAGAAATCGTAGCTTTAGCTCCCCAATCAGTGAAGGTTAAGATAATTGCTCCACCTGAGAGAAAATACTCCGTCTGGATTGGTGGTTCTATCCTTGCCTCCCTCTCCACTTTCCAACAGATGTGGATGAGCAAACAGGAATATGACGAATTCGGCCCTTCTATTGTGCATAGAAAATGCTTTTAGATCTTTGTTACCTTTAATATGATTAATTGATTGTATGTTGTTTTACGTCCCGTTTGAGAATTTCTAACTCATATAGGGACGTCACCATATACCGGCGAAGGGCTCCAAATTTAGACCTTTGCTCGGCACTCAGGATCTCTGAGCAGTGAGGGTTCTTTATCGTGCCAACGCCTACTGTGAAACGGGGCCTCAGTTTTTAAGGTGTCATCCTAAAGACCCGCATGTTTCAATTCAAAGTGCAACGCGCTTGGCGAAGGAACAGTTGCTACCTACTTCTTATCGATTTAGGTCAATCGCGGCTGTGATTCGAACACACGACCTTCCGATCACGGAGCGAACGCTTTACCGACTGAGCTACCGTGACGGCTTGTTACCTTTAATATAATTCCTGGAGTTTTCACAATTAGTATTTTTTACAAATCATGAAGTTCGTATAATTCAGTTTTGAATTCATTTTTGTCTTTGTTTTTTTTTTTATATATATATCATTACATGTATGTTACTGCAACTCAAAGTCAAAAAGGGACGTGTATTATATTAGATCAATTGTGATAAGGAAATGTTGCAAGAACACAATTGATCTTGGTAACCAGAGAACAAATTACCAGTCAAATAAATCTGCCATGTCTTGTGTATTTATTCCAGCTTTTCCGTATGCACAGCAAAGTCAAAGAAGCCCCATGTTTACATTTGCTATGCCTAGAGCGTGAAAAAACTTCAAAAGAAATTATCGAATCAGCGTGTTAGTAGATGTGCAGGTAAAAAGTCAATGCATCATTGGCAATTGTAAAAAAGGAATCGACATAGATCAGTTTTTTCTTCTAGTTGTTTTGCACATCCCTACAATGTCAGTAAAATGACCAAGTAATGCATTTCTTTTTAGATATTATATCCAAATTATTGTTCATACTTTTTCTTTCTTGTGTGTCTGTTGTTACAATTTGTATACGTACACATGTTTATTTCTTGTTATATTGTATCCTTTCTGTTTCCTTTGAATATTCATTGTGACGACGTTTTATTTTTGTACCACATGCACGTGTACACCGACGATAGTGTTAAAAGTGAACAGGAGCTTGAGTGACATAACTTGAAGAACAAAAATATCTAAAGGCTTGAGGTTGTCTGTTGGACTTGTTCAGTAACATTTATTTCATAATACACTGTACTCATTCTCTTGCCATTTGTTATGCCGAGGGTATGTGCTTCCGTAGAATAAACAGAATTTTAACAGAATAGAACGATCAAAGTAAAAAGTAACCTTATATATATATATATATAGAGAGAGAGAGAGAGAGAGATAGAGAGAGAGAGAGAAGATGCACCCGAAGCTGTGCCATCTTCATTGTACATTCTACAACAAACTAGAAATCAGAAAACCGGTTATTTATTTTTAGCATTATTGAATAAACGTAAAAAGTGATTGTGTTCGTTTATTAACAGTTCTTACTGTCTTACCACTATCATTGTGATAGTAATTCTTCAGTGATATATTTTATCATTTTTAATGAGATGAATTTTAAGTCTCACGTTTGGATTAACAGTAAAACGACATTTTATAGATAGCCAAAACAAACAAAACAAGCTTAAAAAACTTTGAAAATGCTGAGAAACATTATATTGTACAAGACAAGCGTATTTAAAATGTTTTGAAACGAATGTATAAGCTAGATTTTATCGATTTTTTTTACAATTTTTTTTTTAAATAGTGAAACATATAAAAAAAAAGCATCAAAGGATCAAGGGAAAAAATGAACATGCTATTGAAATAAGGTTCTTTTCTAAAATTTACTTTGAATTGCTATTCAGTTCTATGCTATTCAGTTGATACATAAAAAACAATTCTTTAGTCTGGATGAGGAGGATGGGATTTACCATGCGAAAAAAAATGTGTACACACTTTCTTACATGTAATGATACAAATGGAAATTTACTTGTATCCATATTGTATTATTTTCTATAGTTCATTATATGTTTATTTATTTTAATTTTATGCGATCATTTTCCACTTTTTATTAATGAGCAACAGATAATATAATACCTTCATTCCATGAAGTAAGAAAATGCAGGCCCGTAGAACAAGCTTGCTTGTCATTTTGTTTTTAGGCTGATCTTCCCCTTTTCCCCTTTTGAAAAAAAGTTACCTTGGGCTTTGATGCCAGTGCACTAGAAAGCATTTGGTGTCAACGAATAAAATAATATGCTCAAGAAACATAAATAATACAAGCGTATCTCTCTCTCCCCTTCTTTGTGTGTGTGTGTACTTTATGTCAGTGCAGTGGAGAGCATTTGGTGTCAACAAATAAAATAATATGCTCAAGAAACATAAATAATACAAGCGTATCTCTCTCTTTCTTTGTGTTTGTTTATGTGTGTGTGTGTGGGTGGGTTGATGCAGATGAAGGGAGGGTGGAGGTGTGTGCGGCTGAGTTTGTGTGTGTATATGTGCGTGTCTGTCAGCCCCTCTCTCTCTCTCTCTCTCTCTCTCTCTTCTAGACTCAATTTACTATATTTCTTCAAAGCAATACATTGGCGACTAAATGTTCACAGTAAATACATCATCGCCGACGACAATATATACCTATGTGTGACTGTGCATTTAGTCGTCCATTATACAGAGGAAAAATGTTTTTTTCGGCTCATTTTCCCGCAGATAACCACAGCATTTGACTTCAAAAGATCAGAAAAAAATATCTAAATCCTTGCAATCGCTTTCGAGATCTGCGAAATGGGTGACGAAGACGTTGCATAAGTTATAAAAAATAGACGATGTGTCACTTTTCATCGTTCGACTAACTAGAAATCAGAAAACCAGTAATTTTTTTAGCATTATTGAAAAAACATTAAAAAAAATTATTGCGTCCGTTTGTTTACAGTTCTTAATGTCCTGACCACTATCATTGTGATCGTAATTCTTCACTGATATGTTTTATCATTTTTAAAGAGATGTTGAACTTTTAAGTTTAACATTTGGTTTAACAGTAAAGCGAGATTTTATAGATAGCCAAAACAAACGAAACAAGCCTAAAGAATAAACGTTAAAAATGTTGAGAAACATGATAATGTACAAGTATATTCAAAATGTTTTGAAACGAATGTATAGGTTAGTTTTTATCGATACGTAACACAAATATTTTTTTTTCCTTTAAATAATTAAATATATTAAAAAAAACATCAAAAGATCAAGAACAAAAATGAACATGCTATTGAAATAATGTTCTTTTTAGTTATTACTTTGAATAGCTATTCAATTCCATGCCTATTCAATTGGTACATTTAAAACAATTCTTTAGTAACGAAGAGGAGGTTGGGATTTACCGTGCGGAAAATGTGTACACAGTTTCCTGCATGTATATAAATGAATACTTATATATATATATATATATATATATATATATATATATATATATATATATATATATATATATATATATATATATATATATATATATATATACATATATATATATACATATATATACATATATATATATATATATATATATATATATATATATATATATATATATATATATATATATATATATATATATATATATATATATATATATATATATATATATATATATATATATATATATATATATATATCCGTATTGTATTATTTTCTATAGCTCATTATATGTTTTTGTTTTTTATTTCATGCAATCATTTTCCACTTTTTATCAATGAGCAATAGATAATAGAGAGGTTGAGATTTCATACGTGTACGGGTACGTCTAGTAGGGGAATTCCCTAAATTTCTTGCGTATTACGTCATCAATTTTGGTGTTGATAAGTTTTCTACACGTTCCTACAACTTGTAAAAAGGCATCTACACGTAGGTGTAAACTTATAGACTTTTCAATATAAACTAGTCAATTTATGTGTGAAACTGTTACTGTTGTTAATCATTGAGGATGTTAAGTTTCATTAAAACTTATTTTAACCATGTTTTGTTTACTAACTAAAGTTAAACTAATGTCACAAAACTGCTAAACAGTTGAAAAAAAGAGATACTGATTACAGTCTACACGTTCATGGTACACGTCATTAAATCTCAACAGACAAATTACAAAAAACGTGTACGTGTACGTCAAAGTTTGTGCACTCGTACACGTACAAGTTTAAAATCTCAACCTATCTAATATTATAATAACTCCATCCCCTGAAGAAAAACAATGCAGGCCCAAAGAACAAGCTTGCCTGTCATTTTGTCTTTAGGGCGCCCCTTCTTTTGAAAAATGTTGCTTTGGGCTTCGACGCCAGTGCAGTGGAGAGAATTTGGTGTCAACGAAGAAAATAAAGAGCTCAAGGAACATAAATAATACAAGCGTATCTCTCTCTCTCTCTCTCTCTCTCTCTCTCTCTCTCTCTCTCTCTTCAAGACCCCATAAACTATGCCAACTTTCTTCAAAGCAATACATTGGCGACTAAATGTTCACAGTAAATACATCATCGCCGACGATACCTATGTGTGACTGTACATTTAGTCGTCCATTATACAGAGGAAAAATGTTCTGATTGGGACCACAGCATTTGCCTTCATAAGATCAGAAAAAAAAAATCATCTTAACACTTGCAATCACTTTCGCGATCAGCAAAATGGGTGACGAAGACGCTGCAGCATAAGTTTGAAACAAGAGACGATGCACCCGAAGCTGTGCCACCTTCCATTGTACGACAAACTAGAAATCAGAAAACCGGTATTTTTTTAGCATTATTGAATAAACAAAAAATGATTGTGTCCGTTTGTTAATATTTCTTACTGTCCTGCCCACTATCATTGTGAAAGTATTTCTTTACTGACATATTTTACCATTTTTAAAGTTTTAAGTCTCACGTTTGTTTTAAAAGTAAAGTTTTATAGATAGCAAAAACAAACAACACAAGCCTAATAATAAATTTTGAAAAAGTGGAGATACATGATAATGTACAAGATAAGTGTATTTAAAATGTTTTGAAACGAATGTATAAGCTAGATTTTATCGACAAATCGTTTTTAAAAGTTTCAATGACCAATTTTATATCCCGTCGACAAATTCTTTATTGTAAGTTTGCTTGAAAAACAGTATTGTACATGTAATTAAAAAAAAAGCAGTTACATGTATATCTGTCTTAAAATATGTAATAAAATTTGCATCCCATTGTAAAAATACATACCTGTACGTTTGCAACATTGTAACCTAAATATTGCAATAGTGCATATACATGTAGAATTCTGATATTAATTTATCTTACGTTTTCCCAGCTTTTATAAGATTGGGTGGTAAAGTTGTTTGAAATTTGTTATTTGTGGATTTATTTCGGCGTAATAATACAATATATTATGAATCATTTGCGCTTTAGAATTTCTTACATTTTAAAAATTTCATAACCATGAAAAATTAAAAAATTCAGCATAAATGGTCTAGTGTATACCTTTACATTTTTTTAGGTTTATCGGGGTTATGATTATCGTTTTAGCGACTTTCTTTACATTCTCTGACGCTATGCAGCTTCATAAGGTCTTTATAAATTAATTATATACACAATTGTTTTTGAGAAATGTTTTGTTTTAGTCTTTATAATTAGATTTAAAAATTTCCGATGATTTTGTAGTTAATAAAGCATTTTTTGTAATTTTTAAACCTCTAGATCACGTGTACTGCGTCTAGTCAAGACAAATGACGTCACGTATGACACAAGAAATGTTTCTAAATACTCGTCAGTATTGTTATTAAATACATGTAGTGAGATTTGGCATTCCTTAATAAATAATAGATATAAGACAAATGTATGCAACCTTTTATTCACGCATCATCCATCGTCGGAAACCGACGGTCGGTCTCGCTAAAAAAGAAAAGAAGCGAGACCGACCGTGGGTTTCCGACGATGCGCATCATCATGCGATATATAAAATATTTTTGTTACATGTTGAATTTTTAACAACGTCACAATGATACACGGTGCCTCACAAATATGAACCCAAACATGTTAAATTTTTAACGACGTCACAATGATACATGGTGCCTCACAAATATGAACTCAAACATTCCTTAACGTAGCTGAGTAAACAAATAAAATCAGGAGGTTCGAATATCATGTATATTGTCTATAAAGAAGACATTATGTATTTGAAAAAAGAAATGAGATAAATAAAACACGGGAATATTATTTCAGGGTGACACCAACATGGACGTCGGAATTTATTTTTTAACTGATACCCAAAATCCACATATAGCCGATAGGAACCATTGGAAGGTTAATAAAGTATGGGGAAAAGGAGTAAAATATATGGTTAATAATCGAATACAATTAAAGCAGAGAAAACATAAAATAAAGAAATGATGTCCGAAGCGAGCGACAAAAAAGCATAAAATCAAAGGTTTTTACAACGCTTAGATCTGTAGCTCTCTGCTTTATCTGTCCGAATTTTCTCACAGCTCTGCAGCTACTTCAATCATAGATCTTTTCTCATGTTAAAATAATCAGGAAGCAGTAACTCGTCTTTCTCTGTCATCACATATTACATTCTAAAAATCAGACTCTCTCTCTCTCTCTCTCTCTCTCTCTCTCTCTCTCTCTCTCTCTCTTTAAACGATTCTTTTGAAAAAAATAATGAGTGTGTTGTTGCTATCTCAATGTAAATTTAATTAGAAGAAATAAAATATTTGTTCAATACTTTCTGATTTTATTTATTTTTGTTGTCTGTCATACGTATATGCCATTTTCATCAAAGGGTGTTTATTAGAAAGAAAAATAAACACAATGTCTCAATAATTCCTTAACAGCCCTCGTATATGGCTTGAATTAGCTTTACAGCTTAATTTTACTATAAAGCGTAATTAACTTAATAAAATAATTCGATTAAGCTATTTTTTTTATATCATACTTTTTAAATGTATTATGTTTCAGCATATTAAAAAAAACTGCATTTTAGAGAAACGGTTAAGATTCTAAACAATGAACTATTCTGAAAACAATGCATGGAAAAATGTGTCACCTCTCGTGCATTTCAATAATTGCAGTAAAGTCGGTAATGTCTTCGTGCTATATAGAACGGTTGATTTGCGACCAAAAAAGCATGCCTATTTGGCTCAACATGAAATATTGATTGTTTATAATTCAGCGCAGTGTGAAATATATTTAATTCTTTCACATCACATAGAGTATATAGACTAAATACCCAAACAATGCTTTAATTATGTGGCTCTGAACTGACGTTGTCTACAATGCAATGTCGACGATGTCGACATGCAGTGTTGAAATAATAACAATGTAGACGATGTAAACGCGATATCCCATCAGCATTGTCTACATTGTCGACGATATCGTCATACAATGTACAAATAATAACAAAGTAGACGATGTAAAGACGATATCGCATCATCATTGTCTACATTGCATTGTTGACGATGTCTTTATAATGAATAAAAGCAATATAGACTATGTAATCTCGATATCGTGTCAACATTGTCGACATTGTGATGCCGACGATGTCAACGATGTAAACAATGAAAAAGAAGGCAATGTTAATACAGTATCCACTTGATATGGAAATAATAACAAGGTAGATGGCGTAAACACGATATCATGTCAACATTGTCTACATTGCGATGTCGAAAATATCGAATTGATAAAGTGAAATGGACATGAATGTCTGAACTGTTTAAAAATGGCGTCATAATAACATATGAGTCATGTTACTGCAAACTTGAGCTAGCATGATGTGGAGAGTGTCATAACTTTTATATTCCTATAACGTGACGTACACATTTTTTACGTTAATGTTAAATTCAGATACCCTGATTGTTGTTTTAAGCTCATTGTACAATCTGATGGTGGATATTTGTAATAATATCGAGGATACTAAAATCCCCAAACCTTATTGCACATCTACATCACATTACTAATCATATTCCAAAAGATGATATGCGTACTACGTTAAAATCTACGAGAAGTTCTGGTAACAAGGTTATTGTGGAAAAACGTCCTTGTTCGACAGACCCCTAGATAGCCTCTAGAATATATCATTATCTGCAAGTATTGCATTAAAAATAACTTGAAGGTATAAGAAAGGTGATTTGACTACTGAATAAAATGAAAGAGAGGTTCTGGGAACAGTTTTATTCCCCAGCATGAAAATAAAAATTGCGAAACCTTATTGCTTCATATCTACTTCATACCACCAAAAGATGATTTGGCTTCTGTGTAAATAGAAGAAGAAATCTGTGAACCAGATTTTTGTAGAAAAAAGTCTTTTTTGACACTTTCCCTCCATTTTTTTAGAAAATGTAGGCATACAAATTAAGGAATGCATGTTTTTATGTTTTTATTTATTTTTTTTTCATTAATTTTAAACTCGGTTAAGTAGCTTAATAATAAACAAAATGTATCGGTGAACGAATAAAGTAAACGTGGATCAAAAAGGTTTTTAGACTTCTAAGACGATGTTATGTTGTTATTATTGCTGTTTTACATGGAAAGTAACATTTTTAGTAATGTCTGGTAAGGTATTGAAGAATATAAGTATGATGTGGTATGATATACATGAACATAGACAATTGCGAACTTACCTCGTGTACAACACCAAAAAATATGTATTAAAGTCTGATGTCCCAAACTTTATTTTCCAACAAATACATCTGATTTGGATTACAATGAGTTATGATCACACCTGGCTTCAAAGGATAAACATTGAAAAATATTCCGGATTCCATAAACTCGAGTTATCTTTCGCTGGACGAGTTAATGTTTTATTAGAACAGCCAGGTATGACCCGTCCAATTTTGCTCTGTAATTTTCAACAATAGTGTATCATTGGCTTTGAGTGAGTGTTTTGATGTTTAGTCGGGGACAACGGGCAAAGTTTCCTATGCAATTAAAGGATGCCCAAATACTATAGGCAGATCGAAAAAACAGTTCCTGAGAAGTGCGTAACTCTGGGCAATAATTGAGTGAAAATAATATTTATGTCTGCTCTGATCATTTTTGGACATGCAAGCATTAAGTCCTAATAGTATTCCTGACAGGAAAGAGGGAAAATGACGACAAACAACGAACGACAAAGAACAGCATAGTAAGTGATAGTGAAGCTCCAAGTCCCTTGAACTTACGCTGCTATCTCGAAGTAGATAGTACCAAAAGTGCACCATTATATAAATATTGCATGCTAGCTAGGGTAACATTGGAAATTGTCACCCCAAGAAAACCATTGTTGACCGAGGCGTCGCCTCGGTCAACAATGGTTTTCTTGGGGTGACAATTTCCAATGTCGCCTCGGTCAACAATGGTTTTCTTGAGGTGACAATTTCCAATGTTACCCTAGCTAGCATGCAATATTTATTACATTATACTGAATGTCATATATAAAATGTTTCACTGTATATGTATCAAAATGAAAAAACTTTACTTTTTTAAAAATGTCTTTCTTTAATCATAAGTCAACTGAATTCAATCAATATCACAGAACACTGTGTTGAAAGAAATAAATATCACATAACACCATGTTTTTAATTAAATAAACATCATATAACATATAACATTAACTGAACAAATGGATATCTCAGAACAAATGGATATCTCAGAACAAATGGATATCACAGTTTGAATGGAACATAATATTAAGGATCAGTTCAAAGAAGTTCACTATTTACTTTGGGGGTACAAAGTTGAAATGAACCACACAGTTATTGAGAGATGGGTATACATTAATTCCCATTGAACTGACATTGGTGGGTACTGAATTTAAGTTTAACAAATTTAGTGGCTGTGGAGATTCCACCGATTTCTCCTGGTTTGTGGGAACTTCTGAAAATGTACTGTCATTAAATATAGCATCGAGTTCCTCCATAGTTATATCTTCTAAAGCAACGTTTTCATTCTCTTTCTGATCATCTCGTGATCCTAGAACTCCACTTAAACAGTCTGACATTTCCCGTTTCTTTGGATCACTGAGTCGACAAGCATAACTTCTAATTGAAGCTTCACTTTTATGGCCTGATGCTCTCATAATATGCCGTGCTTCTATCCCCGCATCATCAAGAGCTGTTACGGCAGTAGCTCTGATGGAATGGTTGGTGTACATGTTGGAAAGATTTCCAAGTTTGGAGATCGCTGACATCATGGTTCCCAGAGTGTTCTTTCCTATAGCTGCACGACAATACCACACCCTGTTTGACTCGAGATATGAATCCAAAGGACGCTGCCATAGAGCATCAAGCTTGAGGTGCAGTTTATCTAAATATTTCTTGAAAGATGCTACAGGACACATCACATTTCCTGGCTGTGCGTACATTCTACCCTCACCAATAGTGTCATCAGGGGTTCCATCAACACTACAATATTTCAAGAAAATATAAATTTATTTTCTAAAGCAAAATTTCAAATGTAATATATATGTATATAAATATAAATATAATTGGTTCATAAGTGTTACCTGTGATTTTTATCAGCCTCGTCAACAGCTTGGAATACAAACTGTCGCCCACAGGAATCTGTGTTGACTCCAAATGTTGATTTTGTCATGTATCTTAAATTTTCTCGCCCCCCACGACACATATAAAACATAACATCAAACCAGACTTTCATCTGCAGGCCACATGGTGTATTTATGTTAAATACTACACTGTCTGAGTTGTAAAGTTTTCTCAGGTCCTCTTGAGTAATCGGAGGTTTGTGGACGATGGAGCCATATCCCTTTTTTTTCATGTCCGTAACTTTTGCCTTGAATACTTTTTTGCAGTCGCTAAATTCTGGATCATTGATATCAATCTTGCAAGTTTCTTTCAAGTATTTGGAAAGTCCATACTTAATACTCTGAAGGGAAGTTACCTTCAAATTATCCCCGGATTTTGATCTGATCGACACGAAAAAAAGTCTCAAATTTTCATTTAGTTGATCCTTCAAGAAACTCTCAAACTCTTGGTTGATGTTTTTCTGGGTCAGGAATGACCGGAATAAATTTACCGACCTTTTTATGGTCCTCTGTGTACTCTTCGAATCTTTTTCTTCGATTAAACATTTAATATGGTCTTCATCAACGCTTGCGAACATTATGATTTTCGATTCAGACGATTTTCGTTTGGTTTACCAATCTATGTTGATTTAATTAGTTGAAGACGCTTTATGACAACGCTCGTTTCAAACGCTTAAATGATACCTGTCGAAAAGTATGGTGAACCGTACGCGCAGAAATTCTGCGCAGTCACTATTTTTTTGGAATATTACCCGTCGTCAAGCAATGTTAACTGTTGCTAAGTTCTGTCACGCAGGAGGGCGTGGTTTTATCATTCAGAGGGTAATAGTATTTTTTAGCAAATGTTTCTCGACCAATCAGATTCAACTAATTTACATGAAAGTATAATATTAACCATTGCTACATGATTATATATAACACATAATAATAAATACAAGAAACAAATATTATTAATGAAAACAATATACAGCATGAATACTTAAACAAAAGTCTTCTTTTTTACTTTTAACTCAAAACTGTTATTTTACATGAAAATATACATCTCATTACAGAGTTGGTTTATCTCCTTTCATCATTTTATCTTCTTTTTTCTTTCAACAACAGTCCCACTGGTGAGTTAAAAATGAAGAACTGAAAGCAATAATCTAAAACGGTCCTAAATAACAGGAGCACGGATCTTTCAATTGGCAACAGAACTTCATTTCTATTATGAATTCTGTCGATGATATTGCAGAAGTTGGGATAAATATGAAGGAAAACCTGAATACTTCGTCAGAGTTATTAAGTGTATTAAGTTTTTTTTAAACCTATATTAAAGAATCATGTTCAAAAATTAAAAGGCAATATGCGCACCATCTATCCTTTCGTTTTTACTTAATCAGAGGTGATCAAACAACAAGAACGACAACATGAACAATGTGTTATGGTTCTAGCAGACAGGGCTCGTAACATATCGTCTTCGTTGTATTCATTGATTGATTGTATGTTGTTTTACGCGTTCGAGAATTTGTTACTCATATAGAGATGTACCATATACCGGTAAAGGGTTTCAAATTCAGATCTTAATTCGGCACTCAGAGCCGTTGATCAGTGAGGGTTTTTTATTGTGCCAACGCCTACAGTGACACGGGGTCTCGGTTTTTAAGGTCTCATCCGAAAGACTCGCAAACATTCACTACAATATGCCGAGCGCTTGGCGAAGGAACAGTTACTATCTATTTATTTTTTTTTCGACTTGGGTCAGTCGAAGCCATGATTCGAACACACGACCTTCCAATCACGGAGCGAGCGCTCTATCGTCTGAGCTATCATGACGGTCTTTTCATTGTAACCTCATTATTTTAACTGTATGTTAGAAGAGCTTGGTTTTAATTTTACATGTAGAAATCCAAATTATACTCACAAATCACTTTCTAACAAAGAAATTCTTCAAAATCACATTTCATTCTTTTATATTTTTAATATTCTAGTCAACAAAGGTGAGTTTGATTATCCATACATATACATGATTCTTATACTTCATGAAAATCCTTACAAAGATACATTACAGTGTCCAGCAAATGCTCTATCAAGCCCCTGTCTTCACTCTTAACAAAAATATCAACTACTGTAATGGAAAAATATCGGACGTACTGCGTGCTACATATTCTGGAAAGTCTTGTAAATCGGATGTGAATTCTCAAAAACTCCAAATAACTCTTTTAAAGAACAAGTCTCAAAAAGGCTTACCTGTGATCCCCGATTACTCCTCAAATTTCGAACATTTATTAAATTTTTCAGAAATTAAATTTTATTATTTACTAATGTCTTTATTATTTGAATCATCATCTAAAAATGTCAAACAATAGATATAGGTAGCAAACGAAGCTGCGTGTTGAAGATAGGGTCCTTTGATTTTCTTAAATATCAAAAGAAATCAGTGACAGGTACACACTTCAAAGCTTTCGTAAACACCGAGCACAGGTTTGTTCAGAGTCGAGTTTGAAATATAATGTGTATATTATACGTGTTAATGTTCAGTGAAAATATCTTTGTTGAACAACCTTGTGCTTTATGTTTTCTAATTAAAAGTATTGTGATGTTGAATCTCTTCGTTGACTTCATTTACATGCGATTAACCTCTTTATGACCTGTTTAGAATCATAACAAGCCACGTGGATTTGCATCGTTACTGCTAAATGCCCCCAGTATACGTGCTAGTTCTCAGTTGAAACGTACTCAGTTTTATATCGGTCACCATGGACTTGTTTGGTTCATCTTGTTATAGCTTTTATTGACAAAGTTTTGTAAATAGAAAATTGTACTTGTAGTTGATTGTGAATCTTGAACATATAATTCGTCTTTGAAAGAAAAATATCATACTAAGATCTTCTTTTTTTATAGTATCTAATCTAAATGTCTCCGCCCATTTCATGTAATAGAGAAACCGTAGTCTGATTGGGGGGGAATGTTCCGGCATTTTTTAGTGCAGTAGGTGTTAAAAAATGGCTTGTATTTTTTATATGTTTATTTATTCATTATATATACACAACGTTTTAATTAGAAATACTTCGTCATACACAATGAAAACAAACAAAATACCCTAGGCTTATATTTAACCGGTAAACCATGGGTGTAAAAAGGGACGACACTATTATACTTAAGTAGAATACTCCTTTAAAATCAACAATTTTTGCAAGAGTCAGTAACATCAAAACTTTCAACCTTTGCTCACTTTAGACAACGTTAACTTCCTCACGATAAATTAAAAAAAAAAACCTAGGCTTTTGACATCATAGACAATATTTCTTCAATAAATATAGATTGGTCATCAACAAAATCACTTTGTTAAAAATCAAGGAATCTGAATCTACACAATGTTACTCTGAAGTTGATATTCAAAAGAAGTGCTGGAATTCCTCATTGACATTATTCATATAGTCTTTGGAGACCAGGTCTTACAGCAAGTTGTTGAAATTAATTGTGCTCCTTTATTACCATCCTTTTTATATTTCTATGAAGCAGAATTTATTCAAAATCTTCTATATTAGGATAAGAAAACATTTGCTGTGACATTCAGATGTATCGACGACATGTTATTGATTAACATTAGTTTCGGCCATTCATATGACGACTCCATATATCCCAAAAAACTCAAAATAAAAGACACCACAGAGTCTGCCATATCTGTTTAATATTTGGATGTTTTACTGACTAATTGATTGATGATTAGGGGCAACTAACGACTAAATTGTATGATAAACGAAATGACTTCAGTTTTTCCATCGTCAACTGTCCTTATTTATTATATAGTAATAGTTAGCAAATTATGTTTACGTCTTCCAACTTTTTCGATTCTCTAGCACATGCTCTGTGTACGTTAATTTTATTTAATGAAGCAAGCTATTGACAGATAAGGTGATGTTACAGGAATTTCAACAACCTCGTTTTAAGTCATAATTTCTTTTTATGTTTCTATATTGTTTAACGTCCCTGTCGAGAATTTTTCACTCATATGGAGACGCCAACACTTGCAGTGGAAAACTGCAAATTTTAACCTCTATTCGGCACTCAGGGCCATTGAGCAGTGACGGATCATTTTCGTGCCAACACCTACTGCAACAGGGGACCTCGGTTTACTAGTATACCTTCTCATTCGAAGGACCGGTCTCCAAATCCCGCATTGGATTCGAACCCGCGACGTAAGCATCAACTCCTTACTCTGCGACTCTAGAACAGACGCTCTAACCATTCCACCACGCGGACGATCAGAATTTCGTAAATTCTATGGTCATTATTATGCATACATGTCCTATCATTGGGTCGTACATGTAAATATGCTGACGCCTTTCATATCAATGAATTCTTTGTTTCATACTAAATTTGACACGGAAAATTCCGTTTACCTGGTACATAGGGCTCAGGGCAGAGTGACTGGTGGATAGAGGAAGCTTTCGTTTTGACACCTGATCCCACCTCTGGAATTTTTTTTTCTGGGGGGGGGGGGGGGAGGGTCCTTAAATTATACCCTGTTCACAGATTTTTATTCTTTGTAGATTTTTTTTTAGATCGACCAATGTTCGTTACCTTTTTTCCTTTATAATACTGAATCCGTAAATGCCTACTCCTTACTCTCCTGATAAACTCCAGACAGACACCAATCGGTTTCCATAAGAGATACAGGGGAATATATTCTTTTGAAGTAAACACTACCATTTGAAACGAAGAAATGATTCTGTTCTTCAAAACGTGCAATTTTTTTTTTTTTTTTCAGATAATATTTCCTGCCCCAAAAATATCTTTATATAATGTTTTCCGCTTCACATATCTTTAAAGACATTCTTGCACATAAGCATGCAAATGGTTTTTTAACATGTTTACAATGTTTTCAAAGAAGGACGAATATTGAAACATGAACTTTGTATCGAAGGTGAGAACCTCGGTTTCTCGGAACACCAAATAAGCACGTATTATCTTAACTTTATACTGACCTCAGCTACTTATATTACGTGTACTTATACACAAAAGTATATTTAGAAAACATTTGTCCCAAATTTTGTCGTTTCTTCGTAGATATGTACAAAAATTAGTTCCCCCAAAATAATAAGAAAATATTCTGCAGAATTGCCAGAATCTAATCAGGCACCCTTTAATCTGATACATGAACTTATTTCTTTAGTAATTTTTTTTTTAATTTTTTTTATCTTTTTTATTATTTTTATTGTCTTATTTTGTAGGCGATATTATGGTGACCAATCATAGGTCGCTTAATTGTATGAAGTTCATCTTTTGATAGTATATTGAAAATTGGAAAGAAACCATAAGGACTTTGCCTTTTGAATTTAAAGGTTGTATGTCTTGAAACTATTATTTGTATGTTGCCAGTAATTTCGATTAATGAAATATGAGGAAAAAAATCTGAAATAACGCAGAAATCACGAAGCTTTCGGATGTGTTTAAAACATTTGATTAAATCAAACGTCGAAATAAGTTTTGATCTGAAGGCCTCGTGCAACAAACTTTCCAATATTAACAATATTAAATGATATAGGTACCAAACCTTTGTTTATATCACTTCAATTAATAAATTAAGTCATATAGTTTTTTATCAATGTTTCACAATATTTTCGTATAAGGTGGCGAAAATTATTTACAGATTTATGAGTACATTTATAAAAATGAGAATTGTGAACACCATTGAAAAACTGCAATCCTAAATATTGTAGAAATCTGGTATATATATATATATATATATATATATATATATATATATATATATATATATATATATATATATATATATATATATATATATATATATATATATATATATATATATATATATATATATATTCAAGGTGTTTAATTAAATAATATATTTTTTGATGAAAATTAAAAGGTAAGCTTTATCCTAGAGCAGCAAAAAATATATCACTTTAACCACTGGCATTGTTGTTTCCATAGTTATACACTACAATGTACATGTAGCAAGTAATCCCAGTTTTTGAATTTGTTTTGAATTTTTGAATTAACACCATTGATATGTTGTTTCTGAATGCAAATGACATTACAGCCTTATGGTATTTGGTAAAAATGACGAAAATATCATTTCCCAATAATGTGCCAGAAATAAATATTTTTTGTCAGGTAGTATATGAGATATTGAAAAGGTTCGCATTTTTCTGGGACAACCGTCGTACATTTGCTCAAGCTCTTGTTTGGGACTGATTTTTTCCCATATTCGAATCCTTAGGAATATTCTTCCAAATATGGACTTAAATCAAGGTTTATTTTTAAAATATAGGAATTATGAAAAATTATTTATTTGTTTATGTACAGTCCATTTCAAAGCTCGTTGGAAGGGGGGGGGGGATGAAAGAAGAAATTATTTGCTAGCTTAATATTGTATTGTAGAATTTAATGTTTTATGTCTGTGGTGTAAACAGTGATAGACATTTGGTTTATCATGATCAGGCTGTGAATGTTACCCATCAAGAGTTCCAATCAATTATCATTAAAGAAATTGAAAACTTAAAAGCATTAATATGACCATACCAAATCTTTCTCAATGTTTTAAAGGAAAAAACTAATTTTCAGAAAGGGCATGTTAATAATTTAAAAAATATTTCCATACTGTATTTTTTTAATATTGCACATAAGAACGTGCTTGAAAATTTACTCGCTATTAATTTTCTTTCAATCAAATATAAATCATATTAAAAATTTTTATATGTAGCAGTTTTTTTGTTTTTGTTTTTTTACCTGTTGCGTTGCCAATACAATGACAAACATATTTTCCATGATGATCTTTACAAGTCCCTCCGTTTTGGCATAGATTACTTCAAATCTTTTTGCTGTTGCGAAAATAACACATACGATTATTAGCTTTTATCTCTTCTTGAGAAAATTACAACAAGTTTATATCATTCATATCAAAGTTTTCTTTTCTTTATCTCTTTTATTAACACAATAAGTTTTATGCATAAGAACTACCATGGCATTTTTTGTTTGAAAGCACGTAGCGAGAGAGAGAGAAAGAGAGAGTTATAGACCGGGTGCTTTTTAACAGCAATATGATGATATACAGCCTTTTTTTTTTGTTTTGTTTAAACACAAACACATGTGACAAAAGTCAATTCAAATAGCATCATACTCAAATTACCTAACCACACCGAACCAAGGTATGCGATGCATTATAATGTTAATAATAGGTTGACGTTAAGTAGGAATGTTTTTAACAAGACCATGTTTCTACCAAAGTATGGAGATATCTGGTTTTAAGGTATTCGAAATCATTTGCGGCATTTTTTTTTTTTTCATTTCAGCACTGTATCGCCTTGCAGCTAATTTAAAAAGCACATGCCTCTTATTAACTGCTCAACGATTCCATTGTTCACACTTACACAAAATACCTGGGCCGTTCAAAAATTATTTCTGACGTAAGCAAGTAATAACAGAAATATTGGGATTCCTCTCAGATGCGATCCCTATGAAAACAACTGCACGTCTCATGATCTGACAGAGCAGCGAACTTTTCTCAAATTGTGTGTAAGCTCGAGAAAAACACCAACATTGACCCAGATATGCTTGTTGAAGAATCCTGAAGTGAAACCAGCGATATTCCCGAAATATGTCTACAAATAGCATAAGATAATTTTAGACGGTTAAGGACCTTAGTAAATGGTTATTCGGGAGGGGACAAAAGAAGATCATCGACGAAAACTTGATCCGGATTGTTAAGAACGAGATTGAGAGTGACCTCACACAAAACTTCAGAAATATCAGCAGTATTGGGGTTTTCTCTTGTCTGATATGTACGTATTCAAACAATAACAAAGAAAAATTAATGTCAAATGTTCCTTCTTGCATGTCCGTACACAGAGGTAGAATTCATAAACCTTGTTTATATAAGACTGGCACAATTTTTCTTGTTACAAGGTCAAAACGATGTATATTTGCAAGTCTTGAATTTTCATGCCTTTTTTTAAGATATGAGCGTTAACCAAAGCTTTGCAACAAATTTTGTGTGGCTACACCGTCACGGTGGTGTAAGAGTTCTAATTTAGAATAACATTGCCAATACCTTTTTACAGAAGGTCAATATTATCATTTTCCTTGTGTTATTGATTGAGTTTGATCAATCAAAACCTATCATCAATGTATTTACTGTTTTTATCATTTTAAATTAAATGTATTCCAAGTTTTCCTTTGGTTACCTCTTACTCAGAGATATATTTTAAATAATTTCTTTATAGCATTAGTGACAACAAGGTGAAATGCTTTTGTGAGAGTAGTTTGTTTGATTTTCATAGTCTTTATGCATGTTATGAAGGCTCAATAAAAATTATTTTTCCGGCCAGGGTTATTAATACATGCTTTAAATAGACTCTCATCCTATCAAGATTGAGGCTTAATTTTCAGACTTTTCCGGCTGTTACCATGGCAACTAAGAAATAGAGTTACTTAATTCCATTTGATATATGTTTCTGGTCCCAAGTTGTAATAAAAGGCAAAGTTCATAAAAATCTGTAACCATGGGTGTCAAAAAAGTTTAAGTGGTTACAGAGAATAGCTCTTGAATGGTCATTGTCCTTTAAGGAGGGATTCTTGTTTGGTTTCTGACTAGATGAAATATTCAAAGCATATGTGTTTATATATCTTATATACATGTTTTTTTTTTTTTTTTCAGATGTAAGGAATCTAAAAGTTAAATTTTTCTTTCCTCATCGTTATTGTACAACTTTAAATAGAAATGGTAAACTGAGTTTGAAATGTAGGAAATTCTGTTCAGCCAGTATCTATTTTAAATAAATTATGTCAATTTGGTACTTTGGTAGTATCGTCTGATAAACCCTTTACGGTAATATCTTTTTATGCAAAAAGAAAAACATTAATTTTTTTGAAGTAGAAGTATGCATCGCATGATTGACAACAGTAATTTTTATTCTTAATGCCAAAGAAAGAGATAATGACCTTGACATATCCTTCCTTCAAAAATAAAACAGTCAATTTTAATCTACTTGATGTCATCACTTAGTGATAATGTCTTCTTGAATCTATAAAATTTCAGTAATTTTTAGATATGAGAAGAATCCCTCCTTAATGATAGTCGAATGTGGAAAAGAAATTAGGTTTTTTTTTTATCAATTGTACAGAAACATATTTAGATATGCTGGGATAATATAAAAGAAAACCAATTGCAAAGTATATAGATCTTGCTTCAGTAAGTGTGTTTCTAGTCTGTTTCAATGACAGGAATCTTAAACTCGCACTGGATAAATTTCAGAAATTCTTTTAAGCTGGTCCATTTTTGCTTTTCTTTTCATAATGTCCCAATTAAGTGCAGGTGTGAATCTTCTTTTGTTGAATCATTTTGATGCGCTATAATACTTTCCATATAAAATTTCGTAAAAATCTGTTCATTTTTTAAAACTTCTTTTGAACAAAGAAATAGAGATATAAACATAAGGGGATAAAGGATTATCCTAATTTTGACTTAGTTTTGGGATGTGATAGAACAATGATTTTTTTTTTTTAAATTTGCTGTTATACATTTGAGTCCTTTCAAGCCAATGCATGGTGTGAGATTAATGTGTCATGTCTTTTAAACAGGTAAGTTAATACATCCTTACCTAACTGCATTCGAGATGGGCACTTCGTACCTCACTTACAGATTTCTTTTGTGAATGATTAAATAATTTCAAGATATTAACAATGATGCTTTTTCCATATAAGGCAATATTTTGTACTTTACTTTATTGGACTGCATTTTTCTAAGAACGCCTTACCTTCCTTTATAAGCAATGCACACTTAAGAAAATCCAAAATGGACAACAAAGACGCAACGGCTTTAGTTATTGACAATGGATCTGGAATGTGCAAAGCTGGATTCGCCGGGGACAATGCCCCTAGAACTGTGTTTCCCTTCATTAGGGAACGCCCAAGACACCAGGTAAAGAAAATTTTGATAGGAATGAAATTTTTTTTCTTATTCACTCGCTATAATTTTCAGACATGATGGCAATTTCTTAAATTACTCGGATAACATTGTCTTGCATTTATACTAGGTCTTCAAATTTATAACAACTAAATACTTTTACATTTATTCGATTAAATTCAGGCCAAAATACGAGAAATATTTAAGTACAAGAATTAGGATGTGTCCTAATGTAGAGAAAAATACAGCCCGAAATAAAATAAATGCAATAAAACCAATGCAAATATCATCCACAATAATAATTATTCGAATTGTACGAATGCACCCTAAGCAATTTAATATGTACTAAAAATTCAAGGATGTACAAGTACCGATCATTTATTGTTCAAGTCATTTGCATGAATTAGATTGGAGGAAATTATGGACCCATTTTATACACATTCTTCTTAATGTTGCTTTTTTCAACTACTGTGTAATAAAATGTTAACTCTATCAGTTTAAAGACACACAACACATTTGAGTAGATAACTCTTGCGAAGTAAATCAAAAGTTTAACATGGCGTCGAATTTGACGTAAATTACGAGGGTTGTCCCAGAAAAACGCGAATTTTGTAGATATTTCATAAACTACCTGACCAAAATTATTCATTTTTTGCATAATGCTGGGAAATGATATTTTTGTCGTTTTGGCTAAATAAAATAAAGGTCCTATGCCATTTGCATTTATAAACAACATTGAAAGGGTGTTCACTATCAATGGTTGGCACACGGCAATTTCTTGACATTCACAAATAGCATTGACAGCAATGTTTTCTTTACGAGGGTCGTTCAATAAATAATGCAATAGGTCATCTAAAAGTAAGAGAAGTACATAATACATATTCTAAACATTTTTCAATCCCTCAAAGCGTTCCCTATTACCCTTTACACATGTCTTAAGTCTTTGTACCTATGACCAGAAAACCTCAGCATACTCATCTAAAGGGATGCCCCAGAGACACTGATGAATATCACTTCCCATGACATATCTAATATTGTACAATCTTCTTTTGAATGTTTTCATGTGTTTTTGGGATAAGAAGATCTCACAATGGCTTAGATCTAGCGAATATAGGGGATGGCAAAGCTCTTCAAAATTTCTTTTCTTCAGAATCTCATTTATTTCTCTGTGCTTTTTTTGCAGCACCATTGCCAGGTGGAAGAAAATTACCGTTGGGGCGGTATTTGGACTTCCTTTGCAGGAAATTTGTTTACCTTTCCTCAGTGCAATTTGAACATTAAAATACCCATTGATGGTCCTTCCCTTGGGTGCATGTACATGTTTTACTGGACCTCTTAAAAAAATGAAAATTAATCAAACATGCTTGGAGCCCTTGCTTCTCTTTACAATAACAAGGACGATGGCCTTTTTTCTTTGATTCCACATTTTATTATTGATCTTCCTTTCTGGCTATACAAAGTGCACCAATGTTTCGTCATCCATCATGCAAATTTAGCAAATCTTCTATTTCGTTAAAATATTTGTTTTTAAATAGACCGTTGGTACATTTAATGCGTGTTTTCTCTTAGGCAATTTTAAGAAATATTAGAAATATTATTATATTCATTTCCGTTGTCAATATTCTATAAAATGTTGTGATGATGAAATGCTTAGTGTCTTGGCAATGTCTTTCGATGTTATTCTGACATTTTCAGATATCATGTTGCACAAAGCATCGATAATTTTTGGTGTCCTTACAAATTTTAATCGACCAATTTGACTGTTATATTTTAACTCTCCTTTTTTAATTTTGAATTTTTGATTCAAAATGAAAACTATACAGCATTAAAGACTATTCTTTCCACATATAAAAACATGTCATTGATATGAGTTCTTTGGCGATTTATGTAAAGAGGCACAGTTTTCACATACTCTCTCATTTTCATCTTCTTGGCTGAGATCATTTTTAACAATTTTCGGCTCAGTGTAGTGACCATTCTTTGCGAGGACAATAGGAAAAATCATGGGGTTTTCTGTGATTAGAAGCACTTTAATTGAACGTTTCAAATGTGAAAAAATAAAATTAGACAGATCTACATTTACTATGATATGTTTTTTGTTGCATTATTTATTGAACGACCCTTGTATTACCAGGCTATACGGAAATATGACGTTACAAATATTATATCCTTAAAAACTTTATAATCTAAAGTACTCGTGTGTAAAAAAAAAAAATCAATACTCTGACATCATAAAGAACAAAAACATGACGTTGTATGCACAAAACTATTAATTATAATTAATAGTTAATAATTAGTTAATTAGTTAATAATTAATAATAATTGATTATTTGCTTGTAAATTGCAATTTTTTTTTTTTAGATTATAGATTATTTCGTCTTAAGAAGAAGCAAATTATAATTAATAGTTAGTGAATAGTTTATTAGTTAGTAATTAATAATAATTGATTATTTGCTTGTAAATTGTTTGTTTTCTTTTTTTTTAGATTATAGATCATTTCGTCTTAAGAAGAAGCAAATATCAAACACATGTTGTCGACAAATGGATCCAAGAATTGATAATTTACAATAGTTTTTAATTTGGAATTTTCAGGGTGTTATGGTTGATAATTATCTGCATAGCTATGTCGGGGACGAGGCCCAACGCAAGAGGGGTATTCTCACTCTTAATTACCCCATTGAACTCGGCGTTGTCACCAATTGGGACGACATGGAGAAGATCTGGCATCATACCTTCTATAATGAACTCCGTGTGGCTCCAGAAGAGCATCCTGTCTTTTTAACCGAGGCACCACTCAACCCCAAAGCCAACAGAGAAAAGATGACACAGATTATGTTCGAAACTTTTAATTTTCCAGCCATGTACATAGCTCTTCAGACTGTTCTCTCTTTGTATGCTTCTGGTCGTACAACTGGAATTGTACTCGACTCTGGAGATGGCGTCACCCACACAGTACCAATTTATGAGGGCTACGCCTTTCCACACGCCATCATGAGATTGGATCTTGCTGGACGAGATCTGACTAATTACCTTATGAAAATCCTCAAAGAACGCGGTTACTATTTTACAACCACAGATGAAAGAGAAATCGTAAGAGACATTAAAGAGAAATTGTGTTACGTTGCTCTGGACTTTGAACAAGAAATGGCAACAGCTGCGACCTCATCATCCCTCGAGAAGAGGTACGAACTTCCTGATGGTCAGGTCATCACAATTGGTAACGAGAGATTTCGATGTCCAGAAGTCGTGTTCCAACCTTCTTTCCTTGGAATGGAATCTTCTGGTATACATGAAGCAGCATATAGCAGTATCATGAAATGCAACGTTGATATTCGTAAGGACTTGTACGCAAATACAGTACTGTCTGGCGGTTCAACCATGTACCCAGGTATTGCTGACCGTATGCAAAAGGAAATCACCGCTTTGGCTCCTTCCACAATGAAGATCAAGATAATCGCTCCAACTGAGAGGAAATACTCCGTCTGGATTGGTGGTTCTATCCTAGCTTCACTTTCTACCTTCCAGCAGAAGTGGATCAGCAAGCAAGAATATGATGAATGCGGTCCTTCCATTGTGCACAGAAAATGCTTCTAAGAGCTAGTGAACTTGAGCTAAAATCATAGCATATCTCATATACTTCGTTCACTTTGATTAATTATGATTGAAAAATCATAAAAAAAAAATTATTATAATTAAAAATTGTATTCTTTTGTTTCTATAAGCAGAACATTAGAGAGAAAAATAATGGCACACTTTGAACATTGAAATAATAAAATGTTGCACTATTCTCTAGAATAAAGAAAAACAGTTGTAATTATTTTGAAATCTCATAATCAGGGAAATCCCTTTTAAAGATGATATAAGTATCTGCTACTTTTTAATTCTTTTCTGTTTTCAAGGTAAACTTCTGCACCTACCTTATGAAATTTGATTGAATTCATTTAGATGTATGTTTTGTTTGATTGATAAACTAATAAATCGAGGTCGAATCAAATCATTCAACACAGTCACAACAATGGAAGCGACAAGTCTGTTTTGAACGTGGATTTTTTTTTTTTTTTTAATTTTAATTTTTTTTTTAATCTTTTTTTTTTTTGGGGGGGGGGGGGGTAAAATTAAGTTTGAGCACATATTTATTGGCTTATCTCCTTGTAATATGGCATTTATTTTGTTGAATGTAAGACAACAGTTTTCACCCTGGTTATGGATATTCAAGCAACCTTCGGGTTCCAAGCCTTCGATATTTCTTTGGTTTTCCTTAAAAAAGAGTATTTTATACTCATTGATGATCAAAAATACACAGTTAAAATATTCTATTAAAACATTCTATTATACGGAAGCGTATTAGTGCCATTTTGACACTCTTTATTTTTTAATTTCTACACTTTAATCTGTAAATTTTATACTTTAATCTGTAAATTTAACACATTAATCCGTAAATTTTACACTCTTAACTGTAAATTTTACACATTAAAGTGTAAAATTTACACTTTAGTCTGAAAAACTTAATATACTGTAATCTGTTATAATCGAACAATCGTTTATTATGGTGTTATACCTATGACATTTGAAAAATAGTATAAATGAAATATATGGAGATAACGAACAGTATTCAAGCTCAAACGTCCATTAATCAATACAAAACAGGAGCAGAGCAAACACGGACCTCCAAACATCAGAGGTGGGATCAGGTACCATGGAGGAGTAAGCATCCCCTGCCGACCGGTCACACCCGCCGTGTGCTCCTTGTCATGATCGGGAAATAACGGAAAAATCCGTCGACAATTCAGTGTGTAAATAATGGCCTAGCAATTAGTGTGAAAAACGTCAGTCAGCATTTGACTCAATGATAAATTGTATTTGCTGACAAGGTCATTGTATCGACCATAGAACTTACGAAATGATGACTTTAAACGAGACAGCTGATATTCTTGTTTCATCAACTTATTTGTCAATAATTTACCTCGTTTTAGAAATTGTACATACGTAGAGCATGCTCTTGCGTATCGATATCGAATCAGCTGAGAGATATATACCCCGTATGCAGGTGATGAAGGTATATTGCTGCATAAGTAAGGGAAGTTGACGATTGAAAAGTTAAAGCCATCACGTTTATCATAAAGCTTGGTTGTTAGATTACCATTAACGTCTTTTTCAAGTAAAATATCCAAATATGAAACAGATGTGTCAGACTCTGTGGTATCTTTTATCTCAAGTTCACAAGGATATATCGTATCGACATAAGAATGGAAATAGCCATTGTTAATTGACAATACGTCGTCGATATATCTAAATGTCGAGTTGAAGGCCACAGAAAGTGTTTTCTTCTTTTCGCGTACAAGATTTTGGACAAATTCTGCTTCATATGAATACAAAAAAGGTCTGCTAATAACGGGGCGCAATTGGTACCCATGGGAATTCCAAAAGATTGTTGGAAGACCTGGTCTCCAAAAACCACATAGATATTGTCAATCAGAAACTCAAGCATCTTTTTAATGTCAACTTCAGAGGACTTGTGTGAACAATCAGAATGTTTTTAACAAAATAATTTTGCAAATGACCAATGACAAGGTAAGTATATTTACGAGTTCCATTTTTATTGAAAAAGCAGCTGTCAATGATATCAAAAAGCCTGGACTTTCATTTATCGTGTGGAATGGTTGTGTACAAAGTTGAAAAGTCGTAAGTTTTTAAGCTGTTGATTTTGGTAAAATCTTGTGATTTCAAATTTTCCAAAAGTTCCTTGGAATTTTTAAGTATCCACATCTGATTTACACCACTTCTCGAATATATTGTTGCACAGTACTCTTGAAGTTTCTCCTTCACCACTGTTAATATCTTAGTGAGGAGTAAAGATAGAGGCTTGGTTGAACATTTACTGGAACCCGCTATGTATCTTTGTTTGTAAGGATTTTTATGAAGTTTCGGAATCCAATATAAATATGGTAATTCAAATTCATTTTGGTTGTTTGGAATATTAAAAATATTCAAAACTGACATATGATTTTGAAGAATTTCTTCCTTAGAAAGGGAACTATGAATATAAGTTGGATTACCACTTGTAGAATTAAATCCAAGTTCCTCTAAAATACATTTAATATAATGAGCCTTACAAACAAAGACAATGTTGTTACCTGCTTTGTCAGCAGGGACCAGTACGTACTGATCATGTAATCTATCTTATTCTTTTTTCACTTCTGGATTATTGAATACAGAAGGATAGATGGTTTTCATATTGCCTCTCAATCTTTTAATGCGCGATTTTAACATACATCTGATACATTTAATCCATTCTGACAAAGTGTCAAGGTCTTCTTTTTCATGTCTGGTCCATCGCCTGGCGTAGTCCTCTACAGAATCCATAATATTTATGAAATTCCGACGCCAGTTGAAGGATCGGGGTTCCCTAAATTTAGGACCTTTTAAAATTAGTGATCTAAAGTTCTCATTATTAACTATATTTACGTCACCAGTAATAACGTGTCCAGCAGGACTGTAGTTAAAGAGCGAAGAAGAACATGAACACGATGGAGGATTATGCTTCAGATATTCGATATCCAGGCCCTATAAAGTTTTCTTGTAATTAAAAAGTTTGGAGGCAATAGTCGATGTATATTTGTAGGAAATACAAGGTGTAGTCTTTAACTTGAAATATGGTGGAATACAAGACTGGACCCTTTTGTGATTAAGAATATTACTTATATTAACCGCGTCAATTCCTTTGTTGGCATATTGAAGTTTAAGGAAAAAACGGATTGTTTTAGCTGCATTTTCTTCAGTAAAACGCGGGGGTTTAAAAAGCCTATGATTGGCAATATCCATAATTACAGATCCGAGCCTATATTCTGGTGTCGAGGAATCAAAAAATGGACTTTCCTTGACCTTTTCAAGAAGACTATTTAAAAGTTTCAAAGGGACAGAGTAAAGTTTGGTGCGAATATGATGTAGACCTAACTGTTGATTTACGTAAGGTAGTAATGAATCAAAAGAGACATCGTGTATTAAAGGTTTATTGTAAGACCGATGCCCATGACTACGCTTACGTCTCTGCGTATGGTTAAAAAGTCCCATCACATTTACATTGTTACACTGTGGACTGGAAAGATTTCCAACACTATCGACATTGTCATTACATCCATAGGGAAAGGCTGTCCTTAGCTTTCTTATCCAAAATTCTTCTCGTTGTCTACGGAAAGGTGTACTCAGTGATGGACTGTTTGTGTGGTGGTAAATCTTTTCCAGAATTCTAACTTTCATTGACAAAATAGAATGATCAGGTAAATTAACATGTTTGTATAAAAGTTGCTGACCCCAATTATTTATCTGAAATCTATGACCTGATGTTCTTTTATTAAGTGATCCCTTGGTTTCACCAACATAAACAAGTCCACAAAGATTACATTCTATTCCGTAGACAACATTAGAAGATTTGCAGTTTAGATTTTCCCAGGTTTTGGTACAGAAGCTCTGTCCAGTAAGATTACTGGTGAAAGAAGTGTTAGTTATCAAAATATCACAGGTTTTACAGTTTTTCGCAGAACATTTTGAAATAGAAGACATGGGATCGGAAAAGGAGTCTTCGAATATATCTCTAATAGAAACTTTACATTCTTTCAATTTTTTGTATGAACTGTTGGTTTTATACCAAAAATGGGAATCTGAAGACTGTACATATGACATATGTTTAATATCCCTCAGGATTATCCGAGGGGCACCGAATGAACTCCTTGAGTCTGTGTCCCTTATAGACTCAAAAGAGTGACGCCTTTTTATACTGGGCGACGCGTCTGCCAGTATCATTTCGTTATTCTGTATACTCATGAATGAATAGGTACCGAACGACAAGTATCCTCTGGGACAGACTGTCCACCAGCAGAGATACATGTTCGGTGGTTAAAATGAAATATATGGAGATAACGAACAGTATTCAAGCTCAAACGTCCATTAATCAATACAAAACAGGAGCAGAGCAAACACGGACCTCCAAACATCAGAGGTGGGATCAGGTACCATGGAGGAGTGAGCATCCCCTGCCGACCGATCACCCGCCGTGTGCTCCTTGTCATGATCGGGAAATAACGGAAAAATCCGTCGACAATTCAGTGTGTAAATAATGGCCTAGCAATTAGTGTGAAAAACGTCAGTCAGCATTTGACTCAATGATAAATTGTATTTGCTGACAAGGTCATTGTATCGACCATAGAACTTACGAAATGATGACTTTAAACGAGACAGCTGATATTCTTGTTTCATCAACTTGTTTGTCAATAATTTACCTCGTTTTAGAATTTGTACATACGTAGAGCATGCTCTTGCGTATCGAATCAACTGAGTAAATCTGAGATGTTCACAAGTGTTTGCATCAAAAGTTTACACATGTATATATGATAAGTAAGGATGGGCGATTCGCTCATTGGCCTCGTAATTGTCTCCAGCAAAATATCGGGAATCTGCTTTCAATCCAGTATATTTCTTTAGTACTATTATAAAGACTGACGAACAGTAAAAAATATATATCTTCAATATTTTTGTCTTCTCATTTGCAGTTCAGATTGCTATTGCAAGTTTATGGGTCTATGATCATGATGTAAAATAT